TGTTATACAAACAATTTAAGGTTGATATTAAGGAGGGCAATTTTATCTCATGAAAATGTCTTTTGGTATTCCTTTTAGAGATAATATTAGTTTGGGTGATAATAGTTTGGATGAGTTGATCTTAATACTAATAGTACCTTAGAGTTCTCTAGTGTTTGGAGGTTATAAATTACTTTTACCTATATTTTGTTAGTTTTTCCTCTTCATAAGAATCTCCTGGCAAAGGTAGGTCAGTGATCATCTTACAGATTGGGAAACCTAAACCGTGTGACCAGTTCAGTCAGTAAGTGGTGTAATGAATGACCACAAACAGAGGTCATTTGACGCTTCTCCAGTATTTTTTTCACTACATCATACTGCCTTATGACTATATCACTTTCTGTTGTTATGCTTCCTTTTGCACATACTTTACATATTCATAAACACTGACTTGGTTCCAAGTAGTCATCACAAATTCCAACTAAGCAAGGAGAAAGCTTTGTTTGGGCTCTTGGTTAACAAGCAGAAGAAATCTTTCTGAATTATCCTAGTTCCCATTATTTATCTTATGGTTTATTTGTTTTTCATTCTGAAGTTTCTCAGTGTGGAGATCAGAGGCCAGAACACATGCTTTGATAAACATGTTTTGCATATTTCTGGTTAATGAAATTTGGGGAAAGGCGGTACGGTTTGAGCAAGGTAAAAGAACCTCAGAGTTTTCTGTGGTATCTCTATGGATGATCAGAACCCATTTTGTAATAGGTTTTGAAGTTCCCTAGTTCAAACTCTAAAGAATGTATATTTTAAGTTTGTCGGTTTTTATTTTTCTTTTTCAAATGCAGTTTGCTTAAAATTCATGTAAAGTTAAAAACAAAACAAACTTCCCAGAATTCTTAGTATTGGGTTCAAGAATGAGACTTCTATGTTCATAAACAAGAGGCAGTGTGAGCTGTCAGGGCTGGTACATGGGACAAAAGGTCAGAGTCTGTTTGTAAACTGGTAACAGGAGTAATAAGAGATAAACATTATCAGTTTACACTCAGCCTCTGCTGAGGCCCTTGGTAACACACTTCTACATTCTCTCACTCCCCCATTCTAACGCCCCATAGGACTTTTATTTACAGAGGTGTATTGATTATTGACTCTCAAACTTAGTATTCTGTGTACTTTTAAAAAGTCCTACTGTTCTGAGATGAACTGTCCTGGCATGTGGATGAGAAAGGGAGGTGGCTCATGCCCTCATCACATTGCAATAGGAAATGTTTATAGATTGCTCTTCTGGCTATCATTGGAGACTAGTCCATATCCTTTGCCCCTTTGCCATTCCTGTTTACCTTTCGTCAAAATACGCTCTACTGAAAAAAAAAATCATCTAACCTTAATATTGTACCAGAAAAAACAAATAAATACATTTGCATCTAACTTGGTGTGGAGAAATATATTTTACCTGTTAAATAGGACTGACATCTGCCTTCAAACGTTTTATTTTAAAATCTTTTTATTGTAAGATAAAACATAGAAACAGAAAACCACACAAAGAAATATTTGCCTTAAGGAACTATTTTTAGGCTGACATCCTATACCCACTACCAGGTCAAGAAACAACTTCACTGCCCTTCTTAGAAGCTCCTTCCATGTGTCCATGTGTTTCTTCTCAATGACAACTACTCTCCCCCTATAAGTAACCACTATCCCGACTTACGGTATCACTTTTATTTCCTTTTTATTTTAATGATCTTATAACCCAAATGTGTACCCCTTCACAGTATAGTCTTCCCTACTACATACACACTTTTTTTTTAGAGACAGAGTCTCACTTTATTGCCCTCGGTACAGCTCACAGCAACCTTCAGCTCCTGGGCTTAGGCGATTCTCTTGCCTCAGCCTCCCAAGTAGCTGGGACTACAGGTGCTCGCCACAATGCCCGGCTATTTTTTGTTGCAGTTTGGCTGGGGCCAGGTTCAAACCCACCACCCTCAGTATATGGGGCTGGCGTCCTACCTACTGAGCCATAGGTGCCTGCCCCCCCCACACTTAAAAAAAAATTGATGTATCTTTTAATGTGCTTTTTTGTTTGTTTGTTTGCTTGCTTTGTTTTTTTGTTGTTGTTGTTTAGCAGGCCCTGGGAGGGTTTAGGACCCGCCATCCCGGGTGCATGGGTCCAGCGCTCTAACCATTGAGCTACCAGCGCCCAGCCTAATTTTTTTTTTTTGGCTGGGGCTGGGTTTGAAGGCACCCTACTCCTTTGACCTACAGGTGCCGCCCAATTTTTTTTTTTTTTTGAGACAGTCTCACTTTGTTACCCCTAGTAGAGTAATATGGCATCATAGCTCACAGCAACCTCAAACTCTTGGGCCTAAGCGATTCTCTTGCCTCATCCTCCCAAGTAGCTGGGACTACAGGTGCCCGCCACAATGCCCGACTATTTTTTGGTTGCAGTTTGGCTGGGGCCAGGTTCGAACCTGCCACCATCAGTATATGTGCTGGGATGGCAGCGCCAAAGATGGAGGCAGCTGGGAGTGCTGAGTCAACCACATAGAGGTGAGCTGCTCAGAAAAGTCAGCTGATTCACAGGTGACTAATGCAGCATCTTAACCTAGCCCATCCTGACTCAGATAAATACAATACTGTATACTTTACGATCATAAGTGAGGTGAAAGAGTGGAGATGGGAAATAACCCTCAAATTATAATGAAAGAATTGGTATCTTTAGTTTTGAAAATTAAAAGTTGTTGGTCCAGGTAAAGCAATTTTGCTATACAAGTATCCCTTAATCACATGAACCCTATTAAATGAGTCAAACGTCTTCACATCCTTTCTATTTCAATTCCAATCCTCATCTTTAGCCCTAATTAGTCTTCAGAGGCGCCCTTAGAAGGATATTAATCCTTAAATTTAAATCTCATTTAAAAATCATGCTATTAGTTTATATAGCTTTTAACAATTTACAAAGTTTGCATAATCAGCACAAATATTTAATTAGTTTGATTTTTAAAAGTAGCCACTAGAAACCATAACAATAAGAACTGATGCTATTTTTTTCCTTTCTGATTTTCCAGCATTCCTCTTATAGGACATGAATCACACACTGATTTTTTTTGTTTGTTTAAATATTTTACTCATTACACAACCAGTTTTCCAATAATTTGATTCTGACTAATTTAAAATTTGTTATTCAACAATGCTATAGCAGGTAGTTTCATGAAACTCAAAGTTTGATGAAAATGTGAGATTTTTTTTCTTTTGGCCAATAAGCATATCTAGGATAGCGACTTTTACGCCCAACGCGTTAAAGGGACTCCAGTATTCTTTCTTACATTTTCCCCAGACGTAGGGGGAGGTCGGGGTTCCACACTGGCTGTCCCAGGGCTGAATGAGATTATTCTTACAATTCAGAAAAACAACTAACTTTTCCGTCTTAGACCTTTAATAATTGAGCTGGGTATCCGCAGCTCGGAAATCCAATCTACCCCTGTCGTGCAGTAACAAGCACCTCTGCTAGAGTCGGGGTTGAGTGGAAGCGAGCCCGGGTACCTCCTTCCGTCTCTAACGGGACGTCCCTGGGCGGGATTCCCAGCGCGCCTTCCCGGCGTCCCCCGCGCGGAGAGGACTCTTAATGTGAAGCGCCGGGTGACTCAGCCGCGTGGCCGCGCCGGCCAGGGCGGGGGGCGCGCGCCGCTGCGGCACGGCAGGCCCCCACGGCGGGTTCCCGCGGTGGCTTCTGGAGGCGTGGGCTGCGCACGCCTCCCGGGTGGATTCCGACCCCACCAGTGCTAGAGCTTTCGTTGCAGGGAGCCGCGAGTAAGTGGCGGCGCGGACGGGTTCCGGCGCGAAGACCCGGCCGGCTGGGCGAGCGCGGCGGCGGGCGTGGCCCGAGCGCTGCCTTTGTGACCAGGGGGCGTCTCCTCCGGACGCCAGCGGCGGCCCGGACTCCCCGATCCAGCCGCGGGACTAAACTCGGCGCGAGGAGAACGTCGGCAAATGGGTGACAGGCGCCTGTTTTCGTGCTGAGGGTAAAGTCTGCCAATGCGGGGAGGGAGGTCTCGTTTTGCCGAAATGGTAAACACAGTACCGGGGACGGCTGAAGTAGAACTTGACTGCTTTCTGCAGGCCCCCGGTGGGTTATCCCGCCGGGAGAAGAATTACGAATGTTTGCTGGAATGTGTACTGGCAAAACATACGTAGACGCGTTTTTCTGGCAGTTAATTAAATCTAGTAAATTAGGTGGTCTGCCACACTTCCTCAACTCTGGAGCAGAAAGTGCATTTTACTCGGTCTTTTCACCCCTGCTCAGTGTCTTCCTTCCTCACCACCCGCAAATTACCGGCTTTCATCAGTGGCTCAGAGTGCAAGAGATCCTTAACCGGTAATTTTCTTTTAAATACAGCCTTACTTTCTATGGCAGACAGCGTCTTCAGGTTCACAAGCCCAGTTCTGCGCTATTAGAAAACTTCTATTTTGGAGTTTGATATTCTTTCTGAAAATTCCTGGGTTGAACTGATTTATTTTTAAACAAGAATCCAGTGAAAAAACTAACATGATAAGCAAAACTGTGAAGGAACTGTTTAATCAGCTCATGAAAATACATTTCCAAGTCTTCTAATTGTGTTCTGTTCGCTTTTAAACCACTATCGGCAAATGTTACCTGAGAAATTGTTTTTTTAGTGGTCCCTAAAACAATCTGAGGTCAGAGAACTCCAGCTTCAACTTCCCTATCCTGTAAAAAAAGTTCTGGGCCATAGTTGTAGAATATAAGGTTACTCCTTAATAATAAGGTTGCAGTACCCTAGCAACCTTGATTGTAGACTTCTGTGATGGGTCCCTGAGTGTTCATTTTAAGCAAGCACCTCCTGCCCTGGTCTGTTACTAGTGATCCAGGGACCACACTTAGAAAAACACCTTCATTGGGCTGGCCTAGGATATCTATCTATATATATGTACACACACACATATACACACACATATATATACATACATATTCACATACAGAGAGAGTTTTTTCAATAGATTTGGGAAGTATATGTGTTTTGTTACATGGATGCATTATATAGTGGTGGAATTATACAGTGAAAGTCAGGGCTTTTAGTATACCAGTCACCAAAACAGTGTACATTGTACCAAATAGGTAATTTTTGCTGGGAATTGTTAAAACTACTCAACTCCCTTATCCCTTTGTGGATGATTCCTCTTTTGCTTCTATCCCGACATAGGCCAAGAAGCCCTGATTCTCCCGAAGGCAATGTGAGGAAGGTTAGTGCTTTCTTGGCTCCTGACACTGGGATAGGAAATGACTTTCATACATATTCTGGTATTGCCTTGGTCATTTAGAACTAATAGCCTGGACTTGATTAATTTGTCCTTTTTCATTCTGAGGCCTGCTTCCAATATCATCACAGCTTAAGCAATGTCATTGAACCCAATCTCCCTCCTCCCAGCTCACTCCCCATAGAATCAAGGTGGCCAGTTCCCATGGTCTTGAACTCTCAGACTCCCTGGTGTATAAGGGTGCCAGTAGTATTTATGAGGACTTTCAGTTCAGTTGGACATTAATTCAGTTACCAAATAATTTTGTGCAAAACACTGTAGTAGGCCATTTTATCAGCAACATTGCAAATATGGCATAGAGTTGGATTGCTTCTTTGAGGCAGAAATGAAGTCTGGATAATCTCTACTGATGCCAAAAGCTTTTTCTGTTTGTTATTCCTCCTTCAAAGAGATGTATAGAAATGAGATTAGAGTTAGGCCAAGTGTTTCTGACTTTTTTCCTGTCTTTAGTATCTTTTTGGTATCTCATTTCTTTTGCTAATGGATCTTTTCCTGTTGATACACAAGATATAACATCTTTCCTTTTATAGCCCTAATCTGATCTTCTTGCCCCTCCTTAGCTAGGTGGAGTAACAAATTTAGGGGAATTGTTGGAAAACAGTGATTTCCCGTTGGAAGACCCAGAGTCAGGGTAATATGAGGCTTAGATATACAAGGGAATCTATTACAAATTTATTGAGTGCATTCCTCTCCTCTTTCGGATAAAGAATCTGACAGATGAGGTGACAGAGTGAGGACTTCTGGCTCCTAGCCCAGTGTTCTTCCCACTACTAAATAATATCAAGAAAAATGGTTCAAAACATGGAAAAGGTCCAGAGAAGTTGTGGAAGAAAACGGAGAGACTTTTATATGACTACAAAAACAATATTTTCGGCTGGGTGCAGTGGCTCACGCCTGTAATCCTAGCACTCTGGGAGGCTGAGGCTAGTGGATTGCTTGAGCTCATCAGTTTAAGACCAGCCTGAGCAAAAGCAAGACCCCCGTCTCTACTAAAAATACAATAACTGAGGCAAGAGGATCACTTGAGCCCAAGACTTGGAGGCTGCTGAGCTATGACGCCATGGCATGCTACCCAGGGCAACAGCTTGAGACTCTGTCTCAAAAAAACCCCCCAAAACTATATTTTCTTTTTCTTTTCTTTCTTTCTTTTTTTTTTTTTTGAGACAGTTTCACTTTGTCACCCTTGGTGGAGTGCTGTGGTGTCTTAGCTCACAGCAGTCTCAAACTCTTGGGCTCAAGCAATTCTCTTGCCTCAGCCTCCCAAGTAGCTGGGACTACAGGTACTTACCACAATGCCTTGCTATTTTTAGAGACGAGGTCTTACTCTGGTTCAGGCTGGTCTCAAGCTAGTGAGCTCAGGCAGTCTCCTCACCTTGGCCTTCCAAGTGCTGGGATTACAGGTGTGAGCCACCACACCTGACCCAAAAAACAATATTTTCTTATCTGGAAAAATGGAGATTGAAAGAGAATATGATCTAACCATATAAATCATGAAGAGTGGGAATACTAAAGTAAAAAACACGTAGGAATTTGAAATAAATAATGAAAGGAGAAGTAAGAGCAAGCAAGCAGATAGCTGTCTTATAAAACCCAAGAGAGATTATGAACTCAATATTTTATTTATTTATGTATTTCCAAGTAGCTGGGACTACAGGTGCCCGCCACAGCGCCTGGCTATTTTTTTTGTTGTTGTTGTCGTCGTTTAGCAGGCCCAGGCTGGATTCTAACCCTCCAGCCCCAGTGTATCTGGCTGGCGCCCTTACCACTGAGCTATGGGCGCCAGGCCTGAACTCAATATTTTAAAAAAAAGATTCAATAAAGGTTTAGATGTTACTTGGGGATTTTTTTTTTTTTCAGATGAGTCTCACTATGTTGCCCTTGGTAGAGTCCAGTGGCATCACAGCTCACAGCAACCCCAAACTCTTGGGCTTAAGTGATTCTCTTGACTCAGCTTCCCAAGTAGCTGGTACTATAGGCATCTGCCACAATGCCTGCTTTTTCTTCTTGTTGTCATTGTTGTTTAGTAGGCCCCTGGTGGGGTTCAGACCGGCCAGCCCTAGTACATGTGGCCAGCGCCCTAACTACTGGGCTATGGGCACCAAGTCACTTTGGTGATTTTTTTGAAATTAGATAGTAGATGCTTGAGCAGTGTCCAGAATCCTTTGAAGTATGCTTATCATCATAAATATACTATTGCCTTACCAAAGTTATCTTTGTGATTGAATTTAAAACTGATTTAACTACTAGCATCATCTATTTCTTTTTATCTTTTTATTTTTTTTTTTTCGAGACAGAGTTTGGGATTTGGAGAACATATGTAGGAAAACTCTGAAATTTAGAAATGTTAAGAATAGTGATTTTTAAGGGTTTAATACTAGGGGGGGCATTAACTAACATTTTAAGAAATAATCTGGGCTCGGCGCCTATAGCTCAACAGGCTAAGGCGCCAGCCACGTACACCTAAGGTGGCGGGTTTGAATCCCCAGCCCGGACCCGCCAAACAACAATGACGGCTGCAACCAAA